ATTCTCCTGCCTCAGCCTCCTGAGTAGCTGGGACTACAGGCGCCCGCCACCTCGCCCGGCTAGTTTTTAAAATTTTCTTTTAGTAGAGACAGGGTTTCACCATGTTAGCCAGGATGGTCTCAATCTCCTGACCTCGTGATCCACCCGTCTCGGCCTCCCAAAGTGCTGGGATTACATGCTTGAGCCACCACACCCGGCCTCTTTATCTATTCTTTAAAAAAATTTTAATTTTTTGATACGGAGTCATACTCTGTTGCCTAGGCTGCAGTGCAGTGGTACAACCTTGGCTCACTGCAACCTCCACCTCCTGGAGGTGGTTCAAGCAATTCTCCTGCCTCAGCTTCCAGAGTAGCTGGGATTACAGGCATGCGTCACCACACCCAGCTAATTTTTGTATTTTTAGTAGAGACGGTTTCACCATTTTGGCCAGGCTGGTCTTGAACTCCCAACCTCAGGTGATCTGCCCACCTTGGCCTCCCAAAAGGCTGAGATTATAGGATCATGCCCTTAGTGCTATATGTACAACTTTTCACCAAGTCCTAAGATTTTCTCATGTTATCTTGTAAAAGTTTTACATTTAAGTTGTACATTTAAATCTGTGATCCATTTTGAGTTAGTTTATTTATTATTATTTTCTTATTTTTATATTTTTTCTTTATTTTATATCTGGATCATCTCATGCCCAATTATTGAGTTAGTTTTGTTAGCAGACTGAGGTTGAGGCAGAAAAAGAAATAAAATCAAAGATAAGGGAAAGTCAATTTAATGGAACAGAATTTAATCACTAAAAATAATTTTAAAACCATTGAGAAAATAGAAAGTTTTATGATAATATTAAGTTTAAAAACCTGAATAACTAGGATTTCAGCATTACAAAAAAAGTATGGATGGAATCAGAAAACATGAAAAGAAAGTCAATTTGAGTGCTGAAGTAAGATTTCTTACCTACATGCTGACTCAGTGCCTGAACAACATTCGTAGCAGCAGCGTAGATGCCTGGATTCTTGGAATTCAGATTGTTATCCACTATTGCTGGAATTAGCATGTTGATTATAGGAGATAAGTGGTCTCTAAGTAGAGGAATCATTTTGTGCATTGTTTCCAGAGCCACCAGATTTACTTTACTATTAGAATCATGAAGTCGAGATTTAAAAGCATCAAAAATCTGAAAATAAATTGGTAAATCATTTAAAGTAAAATAATGTTTATAGCTATTGTTTATAGCTATTGTATTTATAATTCTCTTGGCATGTCATAATATTTCTCCTACTTTACTCAGTTTAAATATATACACAACATCCTATTTTGCTTGAACTTAGATAACAGGAACTTTATAAAAATTGGGGTACTAAATCTAAGTGTCAAATCTTCTTGTAACGAAAGGAGAAGGCCTCAAAAATTGCCCCAAAAGACATCCTAATAAAAGATGAAAAATATGGCTCAGTAGGCAGATGACTAATTGTAAATATGATAAACATCTTGTTTTCTGGAAGGTGCAGGTTAGCTTAGCTAACTCTAAGAACTTAAGAAAAGTTTTTATCTTTTTTCACACTAGAAGTAGACATGTAAGTTTTACTGTGGAGATCTAACCTAGTTTCAGTTTAGGTTTATTATGAAAATTTTAGATGCAATTTCAGAGTTAAATTTGTATTATTATCTCTTAACCTGGTAACTTTAACAATAATTCCTTGCTCTTCAGAATCCTTAACTTTAATAAACTCAAGATATAATAAAGTGAATGCTAAACAATCCTTTAATCATGTCAGGTAAGTAAAGAGCTACTCTATGAGCTGAGACTATTCACTAATAATTTCCAATACTTATTTATTATTTTTCATGTTAAGAATAATCTTCCCAAGAGATTTATTTTTACTCAACAGATATCAGAAAATACAAGTTTCTGGCTCCCATGCCATGGTAATATGGTTCTTTTCTTCTGAAAGCTGAGACAATACCATGAGAAGTGAAGAGTAGTTATGGTATGTTTGCCAAGTATAATGCACATTACACAAACTTAAAATGAAATTTAATTAATA